TTGTGTTTAGAGAAGCCAGGTTAAGGGAAAAACACATGCTATGTCTCAAACTAGCTGCACAATCAAGATAAATCAAGATAAATCATACATCACATCACCACATATGTCTACGGCTTTCTTTCAGAGGAAGGATGAGAGGATTCAGAAGTGGGAGGAACTCTATGGATTAGACTGTTACTGGCCACCCCAAATATTGGCTATGTCACACTGAAGTTATTTACAACTGCACTGAGACCAAGGCCTGGAAAACACGGTATCTTTCTGAAAGAGAAAGCGGTTCTCCCCTTTGTATCTATGCTTCAATAAAATTGGGTGCCTCTGCTTTTTTCAGTACTTTTTAACATAGGTTCTGTGGAGCCCTGATAGCTTGGGAACTACTTTGAAGGGGTCTGTGAAAGTCAACCACGAAAAACGAAACTATTGTTCATGGGTTTAAACTTGATGTGTTATTTGTCCATATCTTCACTGGAAATTTCTGGGGGATCACAAAGCAAAAGGGTCAAAAATCACTGAGTTAAATCCATCCCCCTATCCCTCTCTCTTCATTCACCCCATCAATGCAGGCTGCAAGTAGCTGCCTTAGTCTGAAGCATCTTCTTTGGAGACACTTATCAAATTTGTTCCAAACACGTTGCACTAGAGCAACTTTAGAAAACTGAACACAGTAATTGAAAACACTGCAACTTTTGAAAGGATTGTGCCAAATGTCAAATGCAATGACTGAGTTCAAACGCACAAATGTTTAATTAGACACTTCCTTTTTTTCCCCCTTTTAAGGTAGCATCTGCCAGTTTCTGCAGACACACTTTGCCAGGGAATAATATTCTGTCTGCTTCAAGGAAGTCAGGAGAACCCACTTTCTTATTTATACACTACTGTCTTGTGACAGAGCAATGTCAGTGTGTGCGTGTGCGTGTGTGCGCGTTGTGTCCGCACGCGTGTGCATGTGTACACACTGGGCACGTATTCCACCTTGCCAGGGAACCCTTCCTTGTAATTAGCTCTATATTAGCAAATACCAATTAGCTTCCCAGGTTATGGAGTGCTCATGCACTAAGGGAAAGTAGGACTAGCTCAACACGTTACATACTTTTGCATTATAGGCTAATGGAAATATTAAACGTATAGTTTTCCTTTTGCTTCATCTATTCACTAATTTTGTGAATGACTGAGAAATTTCTTGCTTATTCTACCGTATACACCATCATGCTGAAGCGCTGTAGTTAACACATTTCATAATACCTTATCCCGTGGGAAAAAGCAGTTTCCTAAGATTAAACAGGGAGAGGTGATTACTTTAATTAATCCACTGCTACTACAAATTTAAAGATATTAACTGCACGTATCTAAGTGGGAATATGAAGATAATCACATTTTTGTTAGCACAAATTTTTTTTGATTTTCCATTTGTAAAAACTATTCTTTGCTCAGAGAAGGACAGTTACAATCCCCTAATCTAAGCAACCAGCTTTTTACTAAAGCTCAGAGTCTAACAAACAAAACTGGTGCAGCAAAAGAAACAGAAAGATTTAGACTGTGCTCACTGCAGATTGTTCTCCTCAACTAAAATGCTACCACAGCCGTAACCCCTGTGCCACAGCAACAACACAGAAAAGCAGAGGAAGGGAAAATAATCTGTCTATCTTAATATTGCCAGGGAACTGAGGGAAGCAAAAGACTGAAAAATATATGATACACTGTGTTCATGCACTGACTTCATAGCCTGGGCGTAGAATCCATCCCAAAGTAAAAAATAGCTGCGTGAACTTACTTTAATCTATTTCGCCACAGACCGTCTCTAGAACATTTAGAAGTGATTCTGTGCATTCTCAGTTATAGAAAATTCCATTAAATACAAAGAAAGTTTAGACAGTCAAAAGCAGTCCTTGAGAATGATTTGAATTTTTTTTTTAAAAAGGACTAGCAGTTTCCACTAACCAGGCTTTTAAAAGTCAAGTCCAGAATGAGTTGGCAGACCTGCCCCTGGAAGCTTGCATAACACCAGCCAACTTTACACAGCTGCAACCAATGCTATTAATCTTTCTTTTTCATGAGCACTAATCTAACACAAACTTTCTTTATAAAAGGGAATTTCAGTAATAAACAACTCACCTTACTTTGTAGCTTTCTATAAGGAGGCCTTTAACCCACTATTTATAACTAAAGCAAATAGCTATATACTATAATTAAATGAACTAACCTCTAATTTCACCTATTCCCTAGTGGTAAATGCCATCCGTAAATCCTGATATGGTATATTCTATCCGACCAAAGCAGACAAAATCTACATTTGTCAGAGCTACGGGATAAAATTAGCCAATTCAGTGAAACTGTGCAGCTCCAGAAAAGAAGTAAAAAGAAAAGACACTTCCCACAGAAGTAAAAGGAGAGAGGTATATCAAACAGTCTATTCTTGACTTCCTAACCTTCTGTTTTTCTGTTGCTCTCTGCCTTCCTTCTTGAAGTCTATTATAATGATGCATTTCTAGTCTGGTTTCTTAAGAAATGAGGCATATGTGCTTGTGTTGCCTGGCCATCTGTCAGCTTGCTATTTCCCCTCAAACACGTTTTGAACCTGTTGAACAATCTCAGCCAATCTGACAGAAGGCTAAAGGTCTCAAACATACGGATTTCTGCATATTTCATCAAAATCTGTAGCTAAGATAGAGGAGCAAGACCCAGCTTACTGCTGAAGGAATGGCTACCTGTAGGGCGCACATTACCTTTCTGGGGGCAGCAACGGGCCGGAAACAGGGCTGGGCAGCGGTGTGCGCATGCAACGTTCTCCATGGCCCCCCGGGCCCGCAGAGGACAGGACTGCAGCCCTGCGAGAGGAGGTGGAGGCGAGCTACACTTACCGCAGATCCAGCGGAAACTGCTCTTCTTCAGTGGCACTTTGCATCAAACCACTGGATTTTATTACAGTGGTATCTTGAGGCCTCAGCCAAAAGCAGGGCAAAGAAGAGAATTTTATTCCTGTGTTTTCTTTTTGCTCCAAAAAGCTTGCAATCTAAGACAAAAACAGAGGAATGGGGCACATGAGTGGTAAGAAAGGAAAGAGGACCAGAGAGACTCAGCTGACGTTTTAGATCCACATACTGCAACTGGACCCAGACAACTGTGCTGGCCAGAGATCCAAAATTCCCAAACCCCACGTTTTCCATCTAACGTTCATATCATCTCTGCTTTAGATCCATAACCACTGGGGGCTCTGTATTATTCAACTGCATATGAAAATATCTTATAACTGTCTTAGTTTGGTGACTGCATGCCAATTTGCCACATGAGAACCTCAGGACCTCTGTACTGGGTCTGAACAAAAGTCACTTTATCCCTGGCGCAGCAGTGACCAACCGTGGTCAGGCAGGACAGAGCATCCAATGGACAGGAGCGACACTTCCCCTGGGTTCAGAGGCTCCTAACTCCAGGTATCAACAATAGGTTTTTCCTGAACCAAACAGTGGCTGCCATCCAGGCAATCACGTTTAATAATCATGATTGTGTCTATCCTCCAATAATTTGCCTAATTGTATTTTACACCTATGTACACTTACTCAAACTCCGAGGAATAATGATTTTTGCAACCGAGTATGTACGAAAAGTACTCCCTCTCATTTGTTTAAATCTTCTGCCTAATGATTTAAAGATCTTTCAGTTTTTCTGCTACAAGAACCAACAGATGTTTCTTATCTACAAGACATCTTCACATCATTTGTGATTTTATAGATTTGTGATCATATTTCAGTCATCGTCCTTTCTAGACTGATAAATCCCCGTCCATTTAGTATCTCCTTGCTCAGAAACCTTTCAGTGCTTTTGGCCATCCTCATTACCCTTCTCCATGCATTTCCAAGGCTGCGTACATCCTTGCTGACAGGGCACAGCCAGAACTGTGCATTCAAGGTATGGGCAAATGGGAACTATACGGTGGTGTAATGATGTTCTCAGCTTTGTTCTCATTTCCTTTATTAAAAATGCTTCAAATTCTATTTTATTGCTAGGAAATGGACTAATTCTTCAGAGAGATGTCCACAATGACTGCAAGATTTCTTCCCTGAATGATAATAGAGGATTTAGAGTCCACTCTTGTGTATCTGTGGTTCAGTTTGTTTTTCCCAAGTGCATTAAATTGAGAAACATTAAATTTCTTATCATTTTTCTTTCAGTCATTCAGTATTGCATTTCTGTCCTATTATTTGCACTTTCCCCCACTCCCCCATTTTTTGTTAACACCTCCAAGATACCTTCTAAATGTTTTCTGCATTTCAGATTCAACACCGTATATCCTTATCTCTATATCCTGATGACTTACACTTTCAAGTGTTAACAGGGACACTAAATTACATTATTACAATAGTGAAACTAGTTTGACATTACCAAGGAAAATGTTAAATCGGCTATAATCAGACACATTTAAAGTCGAATTGATTGTGCTAATTTTCCTATTCAGCAATTCAATAACACTGTAAGTGCTTTCATCCACATCATTCTGCAGCTCCTGGTCAGGGACTCTGTGTACTTCACAGATATATATAGTGTCTATGTGTTTGCATAACAGATATTTTGAAATATTTTCTGAAGTCTATTACTCACTATCAGCACCGTGGGGAATTATCAAGGTTATTTGTAATATGATTAGGAAGTCTTAAATACTGTTTTGTGCAATGAAGATGCACTGTGACAATATTTGCGTGGGTATGATGAGTCATCCAGATTTTGATTTCATGAAAGCAGGACTGCATAACAGAGTGTGAGGCAGCAGTCTCATTGACAATACGGTCACATACTGCCACCCTCATTGAAAATACAGTCACATGCCATTATGCTACTTTTTATACAATATGATATCCACTTATTCTTAGCAAGCATCATGTTGAATGCAAGTGGAACGAAGTATGGCATGACTGTCCCTTGTGCTATTTCAGACGAATACAGAGTGAAAGCCAAAGTGTTTCCATAGACAGTACATTTAGGCAGAAGGGTGTTGCATTAGGATTCATAACACTCTGTTTAGCCTAGGCTGCGTAGTTAACTAACAACTGCAATAACTAGAGAGGTGCTGTTCAGTAACACACATTTTACCAGTACATTGATAGGAAAAAGGTCTATTTTTCAGTTCGTCATTGCAGCCATTTTTAGTGCCTGAGTTTTTGCTTCTGGTTTTTTCCAAGACAGTTGACCATACTAATATGGTCGAAAGAATCCTGCCAAGTTGCATCACATCACAGGAAATAATTTAACCAAAGATAGAATATTTTAAAGGACCGTGAACATATTGTCTTCACCATTAAAAGAAAAACAACATTTCCTAAAAGCAAATACTGGTTGCCTACTTTGCTGGAGTTATGGCTGGTAATAAAGAATTTGGGGAGAAGAAAACACCTTTCTGAACTTCAATCCTAACAGTAAGAAAAAGTTAACAAACATCAGAATCCTTAGCTCCCTAATACTTCACTGGAATATCCACTACGTTTACCTCTGAAGACATTGCCTCCAACTACCAAAAAAAAAATATATATGGATCTGATACTTTGGTAAGATTACAGAAGTTGCATCAGTTTATCCAGACATGAATTTAAAAGGAATGATAGCGCTGGAAGGGGGGTGGTTGGTACAGTCCACCTCCTTGTCTCAAAGCAGGTTCAAATACCTCTATATAACTCCTGCCAGATGTTAGTCTAGCATGTCCAGTGATGCATATGGCACTAAGTCCCCAGGAAATTTATTTCAGTGCTGGCACTTCAAATAGTTGTACAGGAATTTTTCCAAACTGAAAAAGCAGAGAAAGCTGATAGGAGCAGAACATGCAGTTCAAGTTAACGCTTCTCCTAGGAGCAAAGTTAGAAAAGCTCTGTATCCTCCAACAAAGCATAGGACAAAAATCAACAAAATGCAAGTAGGAAAAATCAAAGAAAAGTTATAATAAGAAAGGCCTAAATTTGAATTTAAAAGTAAGCAACTACAGTAAATGTATACAGACTTTGGTACAAAAAAAAAAGCTTAGAATCAAATTTGGTAAATAAACATATCCACAAGGAACAGAATTACTATGGATTGCAATTCCAGTCCTCGGTAGCAAAGGGACAGCAGCAGGTTTACACTACTGGCTAACCAGAAGGGTGACAGTGACTGTGAAGAGCATCTGTAAGGATAGAAAACATAATAATAATGGAAGATTTTAACTACCTTCACATAAATTGGGAAGGTGTCAATGTAGATGATACTGAAACTAAATTCTTAGATATCATAAACATCTGCTTTTTGGAGGAACTTGTCAGGGAATGCACAAATCAACCTAACCCTTGACTTCCTACTGAATGGTGTCTGTGATCTAGTTCAGAATATTACTTTCAAGGGCTAGTGTTACAGAAGAGTCCCATAATGTAGTCAGACATAATATCTCATAGTAGCAAAAGAACCAAAAATTTCCTACATTTGCGCTTAGTTTCGAAAAGGGATCTATATTAGAAGCAGAATCCACAAGTTGAAGCTGGCAGACTGTATAACAGCATCAGCTAATGCATACTACCTATGAAAAAAGACTTTAAGAAGCTCAAAAGGGCCAAAATGGTTAAATTACAGCAGCTATCAGAGCAAGAAGATATGATTCAAACCCTGCAAATGTCCCCAAGCAAGGAAAATAAAAAAGAACATAATATCTACCACGTAAAATGCAAAAAGGCAAAAAGACAAATGAAAAAAAGATCTTGAGAAACAGCTTGCTGAAGACACTAAAATTAACACTAAATCCTTAAGCATAGCCAAAGCCTGAAGACTATGAGAGTTTCTGCAGGACAGTGATAACAGAGGTACAGAGAACGTTCAAGGAGGATAAGGTCACAGTAGAAAACCTAATGGGTTCTTGCAGCTGTGACATGTGCAGGCACTTAGACATGACAGCCTTTGAGGGTATACTACAGGATCTGTCTTAAACTGATAAGTAAGGAGAAGAGAGCATCAAACAAACTGGTAAAAGGAATAGTAACAGTATAAGACATAGAGGAGCATCATGCATCTTAAATATAAAGCTGGTGAACTGTGATACTGATCGCTTAACATATCACTTGCATCACAAGAAGGGAAGGTGGTAAATAGGAGCCAACAAGTGTCCAATTTAAAAATATATATATTTGAGGGGATCAAGGGAATTACAGATCAGTAAGGACAATATCTGTACCAAACCAAATGATAGAATAATGAACAGAAAAAACAGCACACCCAGCAACAAATGTGTTTTAATGAGGAAGAGTCAACATAGCTCCTGTAAAGGTAAGTCATGCGACAGAAATTACTGTTCTCTGTAGGACAAGGGCAAGCCAGCTGAGATGCTGTACCTGGATCTTCTAAAAGTTTTCAGCAAGATTTCTTTATCAAAGGTTCATAAAAATGCCATGAGGATGGCTTCTCATGGACTACTAACAGATTAAAAGGATAGGAAACTAAATGTAAGAATAAACAGTAAGATTCAAATGAAGTGTCTGTTCTGTGGCTTGTGCTATTCAATATTTTCATAAATGATCTGGAAATGGGGTGGCAGGGATAGCAACATTTGCTGCCGATCACAAGTTACTCGGGGTAGTAAAAAGGCAAGCAAATTGCAAAGACTTGCATAAGAATTTCACGATACAGAATGATTAGGCAATAAACTTGCAGACAAAATTCAGTGTCAATAAATGCAAAGTAACACACATGGAAAAGTAACTTTAACTATACATACATAGTGACTGAGTCTAAATTAGCTATTGCCCCTCAGGAAAGCGATCTCAGAGTTATAATAGATAGTACCATGAAAACATCAGCTTGGTACTCAGGAGCTCTTAAAGAAGCAGATACAATTTTAGGAATTATTAGGAAAGCAATAGAGAATGAAAGAGAAAACACCATTATGCCACTTTGTAGCTCCGCAGTGAGCCTGCTGCTGTGTGAAGTCTGATTTCCCCACTTTGGAAAGCACCAAAGTCCAGAGAAGGTACCAAGAACGGCAGCAACAGTGATCAGAACCCTTCAGGACACGGACAAAGACACAATAGAGAGGAAATTTGGATATTTCAGGATTCCCATAAAGCGGAAAGCTTAGGAGAAAGAAGAAATTCATTTTGGAAATGCCTGCATATGTATATTCTGAAACACAAGATGCTTCTCAGGACTCTAACAGCCATGACTGAAATTACACTGAAAACGCTGAAGTTTCAGGGCCCAGGTGCTGTAGCACAGCCCCATTATTCAGAGCCCCCCAATCTCCAAGGGCACTAATGACTCCGATCTCCTTTGTCACCGCACTATGCAGCAGCCTCAGCCCTGGCTACCGAAAAACGGGCATGACCTGCTCTGCCTGCACTGCGGACTTGAGCCTGTGTTCTGCAGAGATCCAACTCAAACTAGGATTTCCAGGGACCCATGGCCCTGGAAAGAAAGACTTATTGAGGCTCGCACATACCATGCTTATGCAAATATCTTTGCCTTGATGTAGTCTTTGCTAAGAATAGCTCCCATCAAGCAACCATGCAAACTCCCCTTACAACTAACTCTGAGATTCATTTGCCAAACAATTGTCAGAAAACAACTAAAGCTTGAAAAAAACTTGTACTGATGTTCTCAACAGATATTCTGAAAAATGTGACCACATAGAAAAGCCAGATCAGGGCAGAAAAGCTCCTAAATACATATCTATATAGATATAGATAAGGATTTGAAGACTCGACCTCAAATTCTTATTCTAATCATCTGAGAAGCATATTTAAAGCAGGCTGTGGTGTTTCCTTGCTTAAGCTCTGAATCCAGAGTCAGTGAGCGGAATGCATGTCAAATTCCCAGCTACCAATTTTGTATTTTTCAGATGTCTCTCTAAGGCAATTCACAAGTTTTAGTTGCATAGACTCAAAGAGAAATGAGATCATTCTCTTCTACCTGAAGTTTACAGTAATGTGGTCACAGAGGCAGGTAAAGACAGAATGAATTTTCATGGCTAGAGACTAAGACTAGACAAAATCAGACCAGAAACATTTTTCATGTTGAGACGAGTTAAGCCTGATAGTAGTTCACCAAAGGATATGATTCTCCAGCATTTGATGCCTTTAAACCCCTGTTTCCTAAAAGATACATCATCCCGCAAACAGAAATTAATGCTGTGGCCAATGATATACAGGAGGTCAGACTGGACAATCACAGTCCCCTCTTCTAGGTTTATAATCTGTGAAGCTGAAAACGTAAGTCACAGCAAGTATCTCATATCTTTTAAAGTAGTTCATTGAAAAAAAAAATCTCCTGTGGAAGGCAGGAGTTCCTAAAAAGGATCAATCGGATATTGGCTAATGTACAAGAACAGAACTCCAAAGGCTTATAACCTTTGCATGATTGTTTTTGTATTTTTTAAACATGTGAAATTCTTGACAGCAGCCAGTAAGTTAACAAGTACAGAGAAAACTGTAATCTTCATTCCAAAAAGTTTACAATTAACATCATGTAGTTGTGAATGTTCACATCTTCCTTACAAGCATTTACTTGGCTTCTCTTAATCCTCTGACCCAAATCAAAGGTTAAAATGTAATTTATCTTTCTCTCATGAAGAATGGAAGATTCTGGTACTTGATTACCATATCTCATTTCTTTCTCTCACATACGACTCTGTCATACCCACACATTTTCATACCTTTCCAAAACAGTATGTCAATCCTCATCTTCTCATCACTTTTGTTACTAAGAAGAAAGAAAAACAACAGCAAAACTGTTATTATCAAGTGGCCATAGTAGCAATAACATGCAATGTACCAAATAGAGAGGCTTCTACATGAAACATTTTAGGTAAAGTTTAATTCAGCATCCATTGATAGCTGTCCTTTCTTTCTCAGTCATGATTCAAATTTTAATAAATCTCAGATCTGAACAGGCAACTCAGCTGAAATCATCAGGCTTGCCAGATTTTGATCAAAGCTACTACGTCTCTCGTGGTTTCTGACCGAAAAGCCAACCAACCTTGGCTTCCTCGCATTGGCTTCAATTCCTCATTTCACTTCTACTCCATTTTGCTGAACCTAAATAAATGCACCTCAAGTTTCATGGATTTCAAGAAGCTTTCACATAGCTTTAATACAAATAGTAGTGGCAAAAACTGAAGCCCAGACTAGCATAGCACCTCTCTAGACTTATTCAGAACCCAGGACATGGTTCCGCTTTATAAATCTAATACTTCTAGTGGGCAAATAACTTACCTCAGGTGAAACTCCAGCCCGTTTGAGGCCAATGGGAATTTTGCAATGGACTCAGCTTGGGCCAGATTTTCATCCTTTCACTGGAAGTCGTCATACTTGTTACAACAGACGAAGAATCTTTTCATTATTTATGAATACTCTTTCATATCTCTGTGTATGGGAATTAAAAGCATCCTATTAAAAATTTTACAAATACGAACTCAAAGGAACAACTTATCACAGGCACAGGAAACCATTCTATTATATAATTTCTAGCTACATTACTCTAAGGTTTAGAACCCATCAATTACTAATTATTTCAACTCATTACAATCACTGAGGAACAGAGAAGCCCCAAAAGCAAGCTTATGCTTCCTCTCACTTCACTTAATTCAATCAGGGACTTTCCACTGAATTTGGTGCAGTTGGGTCCGACTCTGCTTGTTCAATTATAGCTCTATCTGGGAACAATATGTGCAGGCACAGCGAACGCGACTAACCCACCCCTCACTTGCAGGAACGACGGCTCTTCTCTCACCTGAGCCAGACACGTGAAACAGACCTCATTTCCCTTATTCTTTCTCGCTTTGCAGAAATAATCTAAGGTTTCATGGATTAATGATTATAGATCCATCACTGACAAACTGTGATTAGCTACTCATTAACATTAATGAACCACCTATCTGCAAAGCTGTCGTCAGAAAGGGTCAAAAAGTAATTTTTACCAACGGACTTTTTCCTCTCCTTCGTGCCGTGGCAAATTTAATGACTCAATTTTTTGGTTGCTTTTGATGGCAAAATTTCACCAAGTCCTCAGACAGGCCGGCCATTTGTATCAGCATAACTCTGGCAAACAGATATTCTATGTCTTGAAGAAAAGGATAAATGAAGTATGAGAATTACAGAAGAGTCTAGATAAATATGTAAAGTAAAAATGCTGGGATTACAGGATACTTGAGATATGTCATGTATGTATCTAAAAGGATTAGGAACATGATGAGTAATTTAAAGATGCATCATCAGTGATGTTTTCTTAAGCAGCTGATGCAGCTGGGTGCAGCGGAGCAGCCATGGGGGCTGGCAGATCTCCTTGAGCCCATGACACGTGCCTTGCCTATCTGCAGTTGCTGTAGATGAGTGAACTTTCTGCTGTGCCAGCAGTAATCCAGGCATATAATTACAACATCTTTGAGAAAACTCATCCAAGGAACAAATAAGCTTGCTTTAAAAAAAAATTCTTCATATTGCCCTGACTCATAAATCCATGGTGCACTTAATTAAATTCAATAGGCAATTTTAGGGAGAGATAAACAAATTAAAGAACCTCTACTAAATGACAGAGAAATTTCCAAATAAATATAATCCATTTTGCATTTTAATTCCAATACTGCTTGTCCTTGTCAGGACTAATACCTCCCTTATTCATCCTTTTTCTTCTTGAAAACAGTTCTTGTGTAATGATAGTAAGGAAACGTACTACAAAATACACAATATTTTTTAAATTAGGTAACCCACTCCATCCTCCATGGACGCAGAGAGGAAGGCTGGAAAAACAATAACAGTTTTTTATTATGCCAAGGAGCTTTCCTTTAATGATTCTTCTCCTCCTAACCCCTCTGGAGAACAGCAATTAGCATGCTGCTTGTCCAGATCCATCAACAATGGCACCTATAAAGCTGTAAATATGCCACACGTGTTAAGATTTATTACGGCTTCTTCTGGTCTGAAGATATATTATCTTTTTTCTTGTGAAGTGGAGAACTGCTGTATGAAATAAAGAAATAACTTGCAAGCAGCAATCTTCAGTAGCGTTTAAGAGCCCATCTGAATCTATCCAGATTCTCACGCTATTTGCATCGGCTTGAAATCCAAGTTTCCCACACTCAGCCTCTCTCTCACCACGTCTAGGAAAGGCCACTTCTTGCAGTCCCCCTTGTGTCTCATCGTATGGGCTTGTCATTTCCCAGACTCACATTTAACACGTGATTGTGGCGGGGCTGCTGTATAGAGATGGGTTAAGAGGCGGGTTCTCCTTCTGGGTTCAGAAGGAGAAATCTCCTCCAGGGGCTTTGCATCTAGATGTCACAGAAAGTTTTCTCCGTGCAGACTGAAGCCATGCCTCACAGCTCTCAAGCCTGAGAAACCCCAGAGTCACTTCCCACCTCCCCCTTGCTGGCGCCTACGCCCTTCTTTGCAGATTATCCTCCCAAGCACCCAAAAGTCCAGCTCTCCGTCACTGCCGTCCCCCCGCTGCTCCTGGGGCCGTGCAGAGCAAGTGTGGTCGGGAGGCAGGGGGGGTTCTGCCACCAACAGCCGGGAAGCGTTACCAGGGCCGTGCCAATCCATCACGGCTGCTGGGGGCAGGCAGAGAGAGCTAGTGACAAATGACAGAAAACATTTGTCTTCAACAGCTGAAAAAGTAAGAGTGAAAAAATCTAGAGAAGCGGATAGGTGGTAAATCATGAAATGTTTCATATGGATTTTTTAAATGATATAGGAAACCACCATGTGGCTCTCCCACGCATGTGGTTTTATAATGTATGTGTCTATCGATGCAACGGGGAGCGAGGGAGACGTGCATAGCAGAGTGTTACACTAGCGCTTTTCAGCTCCTGCAGCAACACTTGTCCTTGGGCTTCTTTCACTCCACCCACTGGACCTGGAATAGCATCCCACTCTCTCCAAGTCTGGCATCTTCTCTCTTCTCTTTCTCTCTCCTTTTTCACCTAACAGCCAGACACTCACTTCATTTCTCAGCTGTTTGCTCTCCTCCTCCTCCTCACTGGGCCTCTACCTCCGCTGCAGACTTGTGGCAGTTTAAGACCCAATTAAATCCTACAGCAAATTGCACTCTTTTGCATCCTCTTTCACCTCTCTTTTTTCTTTTCTTGTCTTCCAAGTTTGTTTAAATTCCACACAGAGTGAGACTTCTTTCTTGAGGTCCCTGACATGATAGCTGAAAAGAGCAAAGTTATGAATGCCTATAAATAATAACTGTGCTGAATACAGGCAGAGCTTGCAATGTTTAAGGGAAAAGTCTACCTCTTTTTTAAACTCCACATTTTCCAAGGCCATTAATCTCTTAAAGGTGGGACTGCTTGGATAAATCATTTCAGAGTCTGCAATTGTAAAAATGCAGCCTCATGGCATGGATTACAAACAGGACACATGCATGAACGTGGAAAAGGCTGGTTTTGTTTCTTATGAGACCAAAAGAGAAAGTCTTTTTTGAGAGTCAAAATAGTTTTTCAGCCTTAAGAGAAACTGGGGTGATACTTTCAGCACAGGAAATTTTGCAGCCTGACTCCAAAGTGAAACACGAAACTCCAAGTAAATTCCAAGAGCAATTTTTATTCTTCCGTCTTCTTCTACAAACATGTAACTAAAATATAAGGAAAAAGCAACAAAAGTGTGACATTAAGGGGAAACAAACGGTCATAAAAAAATCAATGCTAGCACTGTGGGTGGTGTTAGCTCAGCTAAGTTGCAGGAGGTGCTTTGTATATCTTGAGCAATATCCTGAATTTGATTCTTTCTGCATCACAAGGGGTTAATCTAGATCCTATCGTGCTAATATGAAACCAGGCTGTGCTACTCAGTAGACAAGACTTTGTAGACCCTGTCTACAAAGTGGAGCTTTTGCATGACTAGTTGAGCTATTGAGACTGCTCCTAGTCAGGATGCTGTGGTCATTTTTAAGATACTTCATGGTGAACAGGCTTTTCACAAGCTTAGCCGTCAGCACAGCTGGTGTTTCATCTAATAGGACCTCAGGCTCTGCTATTAGAAGGATCCCAGTGACTGAGAGATGCAAGGCTAAAATGTCAGACATATAATATTTATTAGAGGCAGCAGAAGAAAAGGTTACAACCACCCCATGTAAAATGACTTCTGAGCTGAATGGAAAGCACCACAGCTCCCAGTGGTAGGAGATTCAGCGGTTACATTCTGTAGAATTATTCAGGAAACCTTTAAAAATCAGAAGAAAGCCTTCTGTTTTCTCCTGCCACAACCTGCGGCTATGGCTGAGTGAAATTCCTAAGGTCCAAGGAGAATAAATGATTGCCAACTGCTGTCTTAAGTTCCAGAAAAACAGAGAAGTGTGTTATGCAGCCAAGCATTTGTAAGGAGCAAGTGCTGTGATGCTGTCTATTACTTCCAGGTTCCCAAATCAGGAATACCAGATTCACAGTCCCTCGTTGTGTTCCAGTATTCTGCACTAGAGAAAAACTCTTAAGTGCAGCGGAATCAAAATTGTAAGTGAAAGTTAAATGGCAATACAGAGTACTTAATTTTCTAAACTACTTAACCCTAGGGAGAAGCCTATTACAACAACACAACTGGATTATGGCTGTGCAAAATAACCCAACAGCGCACAGCTACTATAGCAGCATTTTGAAATCTTGAACATGCATGTGAGAAAGTTCATTATTATTGCTCCAAAAGACGATGAATCAATGTTCAGAAATTTTGCCAATATTTTATCACAGAATATCAGTTTTGTTCAACTCAGACCAGTAAACTGGACCCGCTCTTCTACTGTCTCCCAGCTGGGGTCATAAGCTAGATTTGGGCTGGTGGTGTCTGATTCAGATGACTAAATGCAAACTTTACCCTGAAATATCCAAAGGTTAAAATTCCAGCTTGATCTACCCCTGTTGGTTACCTGTCTTTATCACTTAGTGGAAAATTACTTTGAATCCTGCAGCTCTCTGCCTTCTGCTCCTTAGAACAACTTCTTCCATATGATATTTGCTGCATATGTGAAAAACAGATTTATCACCCAAAAATGTATGTTTCCAATGGTCTCAAAGAAGAGTGATTCAAACAGTGATTCAAATCTTCAGCTGCAGTAATAGTACAGAGATTGGGAAGAAACTGGAATTCTCCTTAAGGAAGAAATATCTGGAACAGTAACTAAATGCAAACAATCCTTCACATGGGAAACGTGCAGGAAACTATTAGTGCTGGGGAAAAATCTGCACTACGTTTAGACAGCTTAATTTATGAAGCTTGCAAAAATAATTAAAAGGAATCCTACAGGCTTTTCAACCCGAGTGGAATCTTTTCATTTGATGAGTCAAAGGAATGACAAATCTCTCGACGAATGTGAATCTTAAGTCCCAAGGCACAGTAACTATTAAGAATCTTGTTCATACACACACACACTCACATGCCCAGGGTATTATCTAGCTCTTGCTCAAAGCAGGATCTCTCTTGTTGTGCCTGGCTATCAAACTTTGAAGTATCACACTCCCATTGCCATGGTAACCTACGGACCACCAAAATCTCAGAGAGCAAACAAACCGCATACTCCTATTTGCCTCATTATGCATTGAGAAAGATAATTTCTTCTTCCTTCCCTGTGGTGGTATTGTGAGAAAGCTAATGTGAAGCACAGCTACCGCCACGGCAAAATGCTAAATAAATTCACGACAACACCTGAGATCACTCATCCCTTGCAGGCAGTGCTGCACTAGCTGACAGTGGAGGTAGTATAATATCTGGGAACACTGTAGCTACAGCTGGGAAACTAATAGCTTCTAAAGGCTTTTTTAGTTCTATTTGGAGACCAGAAGCAAGCATGCAGAACGGCTGCGAGACAGCCGTGAGTGACGAGCCCGGAGCTGGGGGGCTCACGTGAGCTTTGCTGCTTGCACACACTCTTCCTTTGGTCCCTTGCAGCTGCAGGCAGCACCTTGCGCGCTGGAGGCCATGTAACGTACCCCCCAAAACCGCAGCTAGCAACAGAGGACAAAACGTAAGGTGAAGTCACCATACGTGTACTGCAGCAAAAAGCTTCCTCTAAGGAGGCAGCATTAATACAGAACAGGATTAAAAGATAATATAAAGCCCACGAATGCTTTC